AAATGGTATCCACTTGTCCAAAATCATTCATCTTCAATGTGGAAGATAGAAACATCTTCGTTTCTTATTCCATCCATGTGACTACTCATAATCAACATGTCATCAACATATAAGCATATAAATATCACATAATTTAGAATATAAACATTTATCTACACTATTATATTTAAAATCAAATGATATAATAGCTAAGTTAAATTTCTCATGCCATTTATTAGGTGCTTGCTTCAATCCATATAATGACTTAACTACTTTGCACACCTTGCGTTCATTTCTGGGTAGAACAAACATTTCAGGTTGTTCCATATAAACGTCATCATCGAGATCCCCGTTCAAGAATGCCGTTTTGACATCCATTTGATGAACATGCAAGTCATAAATCGAAGCTAATGCGAATAATATCCTAATTGATGTTATTCTAGCTACCGATGCATAAGTATCAAAATAGTATATTCCTTCCTTTTGTCGATAACTTTTAGTTACTAGTCTAGCCTTAAAGGTATTAATAGAACCATCAACATTATACTTTCTCCTAAGCACCCATTTACATCAAATAGGTTTGGATCCGGGTGGTAAATCGACAAGTCCCCAAGTATTGTTAGACATTATTGAATCCATTTCATCCTTAACTTCATCTTTCCAAAAAATACTATCTCGAGAATTCATGGCTTCTCTATAAGTTTTAGGATCGGTTTCCACTTGTAGAACAAAAGGAATTGTTCTTACAACGTTCTTATCACTTCCTTCTACTAAATTCTAGATGCTTCTCAATTTTAGTTCTTTTGCTCATTCGAGTTTCACTAGATTCATTAACATCTTTAGAAGTGTTTCATCTTGTGTTCCACTAGAGCTGAGGATTTCTTTATTAATTCCCCTTAATTCATTATTAGAATATAGTGAATTTTCGAAGAACTCTACATCGCTGGATTCAAAATTACATTGAACTCCAAATTCAACAATCTATAAGATTTGCTATTGCTAGCATATCCAACAAAAGTACATTGGATGCCTCTTGGACCTAACTTGATCATGTTAGGGTTCGTGTTCTTACAATAAGCAAGACCCCCATACTTTGAAATATTCAATGTTAGATTTTCTTCCTTTCCACATTTCGTAAGGAGAAACCTTACTAAATTTAGAAGGAATCATATTTAATATCCTACATGCACTCAATAACACTTTACATATAAATTAAATGGCAACTTAGCATAAATCAATATGGCATTAATCATTTCAACTAAAGTTTTATTTTTTCTTTCAGCCAAACCATTTTTTTCAAGTGTCCTGAGTGCAGAATATTGATGAACTATGTCTTGTTATTCACAAAAAGAGTTAAAATAACTGGAAAAGCACTCACCTCATCTATCACTTTTTAGAGTCTTTATTTTTTTACTAAGGTGGTTTTCAACTTTACTTTTATATACCTTAAATATATCAAATGCTTCATGTTTGTGCTTCATCAAATAAACATACGTATATATAGAGTGATCATCAATAAAAGTAATGAAATACATATTACCATCTCTAGTTAACATGTCATTCAATTCACATATGTCAGTATGAATTAATTCTAAAATACTAAAAGTCCTATTAACACTTTGATATGATTTTTTTAGTCATTTTTGATTGTATACAATTTTGACATTTAAATGCATCATTTTCATTGTATGAAATTAAGTCACATTTCAACATCCTTTTCATAATACTTTTACCTATGTGACATAATATAGCATGCCACAATGAAAATGAATCAACGATACAAACAACATCCACTTTATTATTAAAAGATTTGTCAACAATACAAAGCTAGACTATTCATTCACAAGAATAGAACTTTTCAACAAATTTTTCATTTAGGGATAGTACAAGTTTATCGGATTCATAAACACATTTTTTGCTCAGGTTTCCTAGATTTTCACTAACTAAGTTCATATTCAT